ATTATAGCGAATTTAATATCAGGAGATCTATATCGCGTTAATTGGTTAGTGTTGTTAATTAGTCTAGTTCTTCCGACTATACTAAGAACTTTAGCGACTGATGATCCATCTAATCGGCTTAGTCGAACCATTTAGTCGGCTTAGGTCGAACTTGCTTTACTATATACTCATAATAAAAATTAAATTGTAAACATGGTAAATTGAGATTTTAGTGAAGATAAATAGAAAGTGACAATTTTCATTTAATCCTTATTTTTATAATTTATTTTGACGCAAATAAGTAAATATATATTATAAATATGGCAATAGTATTTCAGCGAAGATTCTTGGAAAAGTGATAATTGTCATAATCGTTATTTTTAAACTTTTTTGAATTTTTTGAAGCAAATGGGTAAAAAAATAAATTGTAAACATGTTGAATTAAGATTTTAGAGAATTTAAACCATATGAAAATGACAATTATCAAAATCCTTATTTTTTAATTTTTTTGAAGCAAATGGGTAAAAATATAAATTGTAAACATGTTAAATTAAAATATAAATGAGGATGCATCATAAAAAGTGACAATTGTCAAAATCGTCATTTTAAATTTTTTGCAATTTTTTTTGAAGCAAATGGCTAATATAAATTGCAAACATGTTAAATTGAGATTAAGTGAAGATGAACCATAGAAAATTACAATAATTATATTCATTACTTTTCAATTATTTTGAAGAAAATGGGTAAAAATATAAATTATAAGTTGTTAAATTAAAAATTCAGTGAAGATGAACCATTGAAAAGTGACAATTGTTATACTCATTATTTTAAAGCAAATAGGTAAAGTATAAATTGTGAGCATGTTAAATTAAAATTTTTTCAGTAAAGATGAAATAAAGAAAAGTGACAATTTTCATATTCGCCATTTTTTAACTTATTGTACCACGCAGATGTTATATAAATATTATTAAAAACTACCACTCTAGACTACAATATATCATAATCAATACTATTTTAGAGAATATATAAAAAAACCATAATTTTTAGCTATTTTCGATTAATCTCATTTTATTTTCAATACTGGGTTTATATAATTTTAAACGCCATTGAAAATTATCAAAGTCGATTATTCGTCACAATTGTATCAAAAAAAATCAGAATAATACGTTATAAGTAAAGTATGATCTAACACGATATATAATACTTTGTTAAAAAAAATATAGGAGTAACCGGCGTTATTTTGAACTTTTTGATTTAAAATACCAAAATAATTTGTGAAAAAATTACTATTCACAAAAATATATAAGTGGGGTCCCCCATCATTAAGCCTTAATGATATTATATTAAATAGTTGTTGGCTCAAGCATATTTTTTACGTTTTTCGTCCGTAATTACCCCATACCTTAAGCTCAACAAATTTCAAATATTTAAAAAAATATCAAATCAATAATTTGAAATTTGGTAGATATATTCCTTATATACAAATTCTTAAACTACTATAAAAACCAAGGTCAAATTACATTCAGGGTTCTTTTATTACTATGCCTATGTTTTGCATGATAGAATTTAGCCCAAATATTTTGGCCTTTATGGCTTCTATATTTGGGTGCTTTATTAATGATAAAAACCAAATTTCCTACGATATAATAAAACTGGTAAATATATAACAAAATAAAGAAATTTTTTGGAAGAAATAAGAACAACAATGGGTAATGATTATTATCAGCGTCTACATGACAAGATTTTCACTGGATGCAAACCCCCTTCAAAAATCTATGTCTACCCCCCCCCCCTTAAAAATCCTCGCCGCCTTCGGCAGCGATGTTGTCCTATTTTTAATTTCACCTTTTTAATTATAATGATAATCAGAAAATTTAAAAAGAATAACTTAAATTATTTTATCTCTACTACTAACTATCGACATTTTGTGAATATAAAGGAGTTATTTTTTAGATAATAAATTCAATTAAAACCCCCATCATTTACAATGAATTCATTATTATAGCATTATGAGCTTGCTGAAAATGTCTAAACCTTTTAAATTACATTTTTAAGGATAGCAAATAGATTTATTTGGAAATATTGTCTATGATTGTTTACAATGTATAGATTTGGTTGATGAACTGTATAATAGGTCTAAAATAAAAGTATTAATTTTTACAGCAGTAAATTTTGTCCTATTTGATCTCAAAATTTAATAGATAACCCCCCAAAAAATGTATCCTACCCCCATTAAAACGGCCTATCCCCCTCAAAAAAAGGATGCAAACTGCTCCTACCCCCCCCCCCTTCGTGGATGTAGACGCTGTATTATAATCGCGATATATATATTATATTAGCGCTGGGAAGTTGTGTTCTAAATGTTCATTGTTGTTGAGGATTTGGTTTTTATTTGGCATTGTAAACCTTGGTTAAGGTCGTCGTCTGTGGCGATGGATATCTGGTCTAGGTTCCAAGATGTGGGACTGGACTGAGAGTCCAGATATTAGGGACGAAGTCTTTATTATTTCGGATCTGAAGATTGATCTGATGGTCAGCCTGCTCTACCGCGGGGAGAATTGTAGCTGGTTCGTTGATGCTTTCGAAGAGTAACTTAGGTGCTCTATCCCCAACCAAGTTTCCTGATGGCTCGTGCTCTAGGTTTTCAAAGTGCTGGAGTCCTAACATTTAGAGAATCTGAGTCAGGACTACTTCAATGGATGGTGAGCAAGATCCCCCCTTTTTGTAAACGTAAGCAGACCGTAGAGTCGGTGAAAATAACAGGTGAACCCCGTCTTTTTCTTTTGCTAGAAGGGTACCAACTCCTGCTGAGACTTCTTTAGCATTAATATGGTTGATGGCGTATGATGGGATGTTAGACATCAGTGCTTCGATGAATGAAATTGACATGTTGTCGTATCCGCAGAACGAGTTAACTATGTGCGAATCGGAGGCATACACATATACGGCGTTATTGTCGTGATATATCATTTGAATTGGGGTTTTAATTCTAAAAAATAGAACAAAGTAAAAATAAATGATATGTGGCGCCATACATATAAAACAAAAAGCAAAAATAAATTAAAATCACATATATTTTAAATTTTTTTATAAAATATTATGATTTGTTATTTAAATCAAAATATTATTATAATTTTGTAAAAAGATGATTAGGGGAGGCCGGGGTTATATTGTGCATAAAAAATTAATGTGTTATAAAAAAAATATTTAAGAAAATAAATAATTTCGTTTTTTATTTATAAAATTTAAAAAAATAAAAATTTAAGAAATAAGAAAAACTACCGGGGTACCTATTATCCTTAGGGGTTATTTGTCATAGCGCATCTTTATTTTTAAAAAAATTTGCGTAAAAACAGTAGTAACTCCTAAGTAAATAATTGAAAATAAATTGTCAAATTTACCAGGTCATCTATAATTAGATATATATATCAACCAGATGTGAAAAACTTGATATAATTTACAAAAAATAAGTCAAAAATCTATTATCATTCGTCTCCCTAAACTATCCAGTGGCTTCTAATATTTTTTTTTAATTTAGTTGGATTTTTTTTTTCAAAATAAACCTTGCTTTAACATAATAAGTACCCCGCCAAAACTTGCTACTGGTCTTCTGAATTAATTAAAATTTGATTTCTATTAAATTACTAAAAATATTGTTAATATTTTTCATACTTGATAAAATTGAGAGTTTATAATTTCGAATTGATGTTTAGTCGCATTGAATCTAATAATGATCTTATTCAGATGAAATATCTGGAAAGGCAACTCTGATATTTCTTTAAGGGGACTCAATAGGTTATTTATATCCAAAAAAGCTGTAACAGCTTGATGTCGAAAGTTCCATTTAGTCGGGCATGCTTTTTGCAGTTTATTTCTACCTGTAGCACCTTAGAAATAATTTTATTCAGCAAATTCTGACTATTTGAATATCTGAACAATTCATACACACTAGAAATTGAAATTAAATGAATTTTTTTTTGATTGATAAAATATTTTTATATCCATAAAAGTGTAAGAAAATAAACCTAAAATTTTTGTGAGATTTTAATTAAAAGATCTATTTGAGAAATAGATTACTTTGCAATTAACACATTATGAAAATCTTTTATATTTATTAAAAAATATTTGCTACGGTGGAGGGGTGGGGGGTTCTTCCCTCTCTGGTTATGCGCATGTTTTAATTAAAGTATGATCTTTACCTAATGATATTTTATATGATAGAAAACACTATTTCTGACTTTTTGATTTAAATTACATAAAATTTGTCTTGATTTTAAAATCGATAAATTATTTTTTTTTCTAAAATTTATTTTGCTGTTTATAACTTATTTAATATGTGAAGAGATTAATAATTATTTACCCACCGCTCGTCCGTTTTGTAAAATTATTTTACTCCCCCGCCCCTTATTAGATGAGCGAAAGTGAGCTAAAAACTCGCTCGTTTCGCAAAATAGCTTAAAAATTCTGACGATTGTCACTTTACTCTGGTAAATCTTTATTAAAATTTCAATTTAACAAGTTTACCCTTTATATTTTTACTCATTTGCTAAAAATTCAAAATAAAAATAACGATTTTGACAATTATCACTTTTCTATGGTACATCAACTGAAATCTTATTAACATGTTGATAAATGTTTTTACCCATTTGCCTTAAAAAAGTCTAAAAATAAAGATTATGACAATTGTCACTTCTCATTTTTAAAAAATAGGTTCAAGATTGATTCAATGATAGGATTATTTGAATCAATATCATCAAATGTTCCAATAAATAGCTGTCACTTTTTGGGTGAAAAAGTCACAAACCGACGATATTGTTTCTAAATTTTGAAAAATATATTAAATTATAAAAAGATATCTATAATACATAATAAAATATAATAAATTCCAATTAAATTAAAAAAATTTTACGTAAACTGTTCCGGATGTCTCGAATTTCACATGCCTCGGATATCATCAAATTTAGGCAATGTGAACTACAGTTAAAATATAAATGGGTGCTATAAAGCTCTCTAATTCTTGACTACACCCCCTTAACGTGACCACTCATTGAGGGAGCTCCATCATATCCCTGGCCTCTCATTAGATTTAAATCTAGACCTTGAAGGGATGCTAAAATTTCTTTGGCTATTGTCTCTGATTTAGTGTCATTTAAATCAATAAATTGAACAAGTAGTTCCTTCATTTTATAATCACCTGATTCCATATCAATAAACCTTTTTGCTATGGATAATTGCTCTATGTTCCCAACATCCAAAGTTTCATCGGCCAGAACACTAAAAAATGGTGATGCTTTTACTTTTGAAGAAATTTCTTTCAATATAAACTTATTGCATATGGATATAATTTCATCTTGAATGCATGGACTAAGGTAGGTGGCATTTTTAGCCGAGCTTTCAAAAAGCTTTATATAATTATCATTATTGTTGCATAAAAGTTTCAGCAATTCCTTAAAATTCCCCTCATTATGAGAAGATGAAAGTGTTAAAGGGCCAGCTGATACTCTATGAGCTCTTAATGCTAAGCCCTGCCTCCCTAGCCAAATGATTGCATCAATTATTATAATTATTCTGGCTCTGTTGGTTGTAACAATATCAATTTTTTTTTATTCAATACACTAGATATTGATATCTTTTGATTCATAGAGATGGCTTTTAAAGCATCAGATATCTCACAAGAATTGAGATGATATATATTTTGTTGATGATAATTAAAATTTTCAAGAGCATCTTTCCATCTTGTATATACTTGACTTACCAATGTTTTGAGTTTTTGTAACCCGGTTCCTATCTTGGCGAAAAAATGACGCACACTTTACAAAAAGCTCTCTTTTCATTAGCTATATTTGTTAAGCCACGATGTTTGAAATGTTAAATTTCTTTTATCCAAGGACAATGGGAATTTATAGCATTTGTCAGGTGTCCAAATATTTTCAACAGCCAACAATTTTTCATTATCATTTTTAAACTTAAAATTTAAGTATAATGAAATATCTTTTTGAGGACATTGATTTTCTATATTTATTTTAAATTTTAAATTATATATTTCAATGTGAATTGTAGAGTTCAGACCTGAGCAGCACAACAAGAAAAGAATATAGTTTATAAAAAATATATCTTAGATAAAGATTCAAGTTACTTATTACAAATTTAAAAGACAGGGTAAGACATAGAAGGAAATTTTTGTTTTTATCTAAGATACAGGTTTACACAATACTGCCCAACTCTGCTTGTGCTTATAATTTACAATAATCAAAATGATGAGCTTTTCGTATAAAAAAGGGTTATAACTAAATAAAGCACATTGCAAAATTTTAATAACTCAAATGAAAATAATATAATTTACAAATAAAAATTAGAACTTAATTATATTATAAAATACCATACCATCATTTGATGAATTTTCAGCCAAATCAACTGAGAGCTCACATGCTTTTATAACACATAATGTTTCTAATTATAAAAAATTAAGAGAACTTAAAAGAAACAAGAAATAATTAAGTTGTGTTTAGTTTTAAATAAATTTTATTTCTACTTTAAAAAATAAAATAATAATAATTATAATATGTATATCATCGACTGGTATATATACTGGTATATGTAACAAAACATTTAAATTAATACTCAATAAATTATTTTACAAATTTGAATAAACAACATAATATGTAACAAAACATTTAAATTTATACTCAATTAATTATTTTACAAATTTGAATAAACAACACTATTAACAGAACTTAAAAATGATAATTTAGAATTTCATACCATTATCATTTGATAATTTTATTAACTCATTAGTTTTACCTGGGTATAGTGGTTGTATTTCTAATTGCAAGATTTAAATAAAAGATATTATAAAAGTGAATACCATTACCATCGGCATTTGAGGATTTTGTTATTCTAAATCAAATTACATAAATTTTCTAAATCAATTTAAATATACCTTTATTTAGTAAAAATTTTCTTATATCCATGTGGGAATTAAATAAAAATTTTAAAAACTATCAATTTAGTTTAACAATTTAAATTTTATTATTAAATTTAAAATATCTAATTAAACAATAAAAATATATTTACAATATATATTTAATTGTTATTTAATATTTTATTAGTTCATAAAAATATATTTCATTTTAATATCGTATATATTATTTATTTTATTTCTAAATTGAAACAGTTTTTTAAATAAAATATAAAAAAAAAAATTTTGAGGGGTGATGGGGGGCCAGAAACATATTGGTTAATTATTTTTTATCATATCAGATAAAGGTTACATGCTTACTTAATAGACAATAGGTAACAAAAGACTCATAAAACATTTCGCTATGATTTAAGTAACTTTTCTAAGTAAATTAATATTCAATATGTTGTTTTCTTTTAAATAAATCATTCACAATATATTTATTTTCGCGATAATGACTTCGCGAAAAAGCATTCGTGGTAAAAAATTCGTTATAAAAGTTTCGCTAAAATGTATTCGCTCTAATAATTTCGCGATTTTCGCAGAAATAAATTTGCGATATTTTCGTCCCTATAAATGTTTAGCAGAAAAATATTCGCGGAACTTTTTTCGCGATATTACCTTCTCTATAAAATTTATTCTCTGTAAACGACATTCGTGATAAATTCGCGATAAAAATTTCACTGAATTGACCGATACGGGTTAATATCTATATTAAAATTCAATGAAGATGTACCATAAAAAGTGGCAATTGTGATAATCGTCAATTTTTTACTTTTTTGTCGCAAATGGGTAAAAAATATATATTATTAACATCTTTAATTAAAATTTCAATGAAAATTTATTAAAGATAAGTGACAATTGTCATAATCGTTATTATTTAACTTTTTTGAACTTTTTTATGCAAATGGGGTAACAATATATATTGTAAAAATGATTTTTTGGTAGTTAATTTTGTTTTTAAAAAAGCAGTTTCAATTTAAAAAATTATATACAAATACGAACAATATCAAATTAAAATTATATTTTAAAAAAAACAAATAAGAATATATTAGAATTTATATAAAAAAAAATATATCAATATATATTTTATATAGAAAACATTAAATAGAACTTTAAAAAATATTAAAATAGGTACATATCACCTTAGAGAAGAGTGAATGCTTAAAAAATTGATCCAATTTAGAGAGAAATATGCTGACGAAAGTAAAATCATTCTTTGGGGCCCCCTGTGATCTGTCTCAATTTTCACATTGTTTTAATAAAATAGAAGGCCTCACTTCCGATAAAGATAAGATTTACCATAGAAAAGTGACAATTGTCATAACCGTTATGTTTTAATTTTTTTGTCGCAATTGGGTAAAAATATATAATGCAATCATGTTAAATTAAAATTTCAATAAAGATGGACCATATAAAAGTGACAATTGACATAATCATTAAATTAAAACTTTTTTATAGCAAATATTATAAATAAATTAATATATTTTAAACATGTTAATTGAAGTTTTTCTCAAATATACCATAGATGATATAAATTTAAGTGGAGATTATAAAATATGTGAAAAATACAAAATTTTGCTTGGAGCAAAAAGTTTATACTTTACTTATATTTATTATAAATATTTTTACATATTTTATCGGTTTTTTTAAGAGAGAGAAAGGCGATAAAGGCTTATGATAAATATTTTGTCATTTTATAATATTTACTAAAACAACAAAAGTAATAAGATGGGGAGGGGGGGGGAGGTGATTACTTGCATGTATTTAAGGAACTTGTATTTTTTTTAATTGTTCTAATTCTACTATAATAATGTAGCTAAATGGCTAAGCCGAGTCAACTAATCTCTAAACTCAGTTTGAATTCAAAAATAGACTCGTTCCAAAAACAGCTTTCATTTGAGTCGACTCAGGAGTTCACCTGAGTTTAAATTTGAGCCGTAAATTATTTATTTGTGATTTAGATAATTTAAGAATAATATATTTAGCACTGTTAATTTTGAGCGGACCAATAGATGAATCACAGATGCTAGCTCGATGAGCCATATGCGCATGATTTCCAGGTCTGCCACATTAATATGTAGACTACCACAATTTTTTTGAAAAATCAAAATATAACACTAAGCTGAATATAATCCTACCAGTTTTATGAAATTTCCGAATAATGCAATAGCTAACATAAAATCTCCCACACGTGAGAGACTAGGTTGGGTACCCTCATATCCCAATTTATAAACACTATATTAAAATCAAATTTATTTGTAGCTGTTAAACAGTGACACTCATGTATTTTATCTTAACTTTAAAAAATTGTTTTTTTTTACATCCTTAAGCTATTTATGGCGTAACTATATTTCAAATGTAATAAGAATTGTTTCTTTACTTAATAAACTAATGTTCAATTTTTTATTTTAACTTTAAAAAAAAAGATCAATTTATTATAAACTACATTAAATTAAATTGTCAATATATACAGGAAACTATTTTGAATTATGTGATCATTATATTTTTTAAATTTAAATATCAATAAATTGACTTAATATACGTTTATAACATTTGATTTCTGCAACCTTTTCAGTAGCTTTTATATTTTAAAAATATATTTAATAAATTATAAGTTAATGATTTTACTTGCTATTTTAGAATTTAATTTTAATTTATAATTATATGACAGCAGCAGTTAAGGTGAGCAAAGAATTGCCAAATATAATATTTATTAATTTAATTTATCTAAAAAATATTACTACACAACTATAAATTACATGTATATATATACTTTTACAATCAATCAAATTCTTAATCTTGTGTCATGTGAATGAAATAATATAATATAATTGTTTAAAATGTTAATACGTGATACGATAAAAGCGTTTTCGACCTCTGGTTGTGGGTACAACAGACTAAGCTAGGTTTTCCTCAAAATCCATCAAACTGGATAGTTAATTAGGGGAAGAAAAATGAGGAGCCCTTCACACTTTGTGGGCAAGCCGCCCGTACTTGTAGGCGTTACATTTCGAAAAAAGTTGCTTAAACCTCTATAGGCTTAGTAAAAAGGAGTGTGGTAAAAAAAGAGCCTACACCCGAGAACTACAGTATAATTTAATTACTTTAAAGGTGGGTGATGGCTGATTTTAAGTTTAAATTCTTTAGTGTACATTTTGATGATTACTATCACTATTGAGATTTAATGTTCATAGAATCTGTAAATAAATATGATTAAAATAAAAAAAATTTGCCTGAACAGTAGATATAGTGTTATTTTTTATCAATGATTCAACCCATACAATCAGCGTCTACATGAGCGGGAGGGGTAGGAACAGTTTGCATCCTATTTTTTTGAGGGGGTAGGGGGTAAGCTGCTTTAATGGGGGTAGGATAAATTTTTTGGGGGGTTATCTATTAAATTTTGAGATAAAATAAGACAAAGTTTATCGCTGTAAAAATTAATACTTTTATTATAGTGTTATTATAATACAATTCATCGACCAAATCTATATATTGCAAACAATCATACACATTGTTTTCCAAATAAACTATCCTTTTAAATATAATTTAAAAGGTTTAGATATTTCAGCAAGCTCATAATGCCATAATAATTAATTCATTGTAAATAATGGAGGTTTTAATTAAATTTATTATCTAAAAAATAAATTCTTTATATTCAAAAAATATCGATAGTTGGTAGTAGAGATAGATTAATTTAAGTTATCTTTTATAAATTATTTAAAAAGAGTATCAATAAATAAATAGGTGAAAATAATCATAAAGAGACATCGCGGGGATTTTTTAGGAGGGTAGGTAAAGGTTTATGAAGGGGGTTTGCATCCAGTGGAAATCCTGTCATGTAGACGCTGCATAGACATTATAATGGAAAAAGATTTAAAATTTGAAAGGAAATAAAATACAGCTTGCGTATAAAAATAGAAGTCAGTTTATATCATAAACAGGTTTTGTTAATAGATAATTTAAAATACAACGAATGAATGAAATAAATTGCAATTTATGCTAAACAACATCTAATTTAAATAAAATAATTATAAATATAAAACCATATTTAACAACAGCTTTTTTCAAGTTCAAAAATATTCTTTAAACTGACATCTATATTATAATTTTCCGATGTCCTCACTACGCCATCATGACGTCATGTCATCGTTACGTCATATCATCACTACGTCATGTCTTCGCTACGTCATGTCATCGGTACGTATTTATTTTTATTTTTTTTATTTGTTTTATTTATTTATTTTATACAAACAGATGAATGGATGTTCGAGAATTGATGGTGTACACATACCTAACATGGATTGAGAGATTTGAAAAATCGTCTTTGAATTGATAAAAACAATATTCCCTCAACTTTGTAAATATGAATGAAACTTTTTATTTCACTTAATCCTTTCTTTATTTTTTAGATTACCTTATCAATTTTCATCTCATATTATCAATTATACATTAATGAAATCTCTACAAGATACTCAACTTGTATATTTATTTTGAACATACTCACAATTTTTGTCAGTACTTATATTACAATTTTTGATACTCATATTTTTCTTTCATAACCAATAATTAAGAAGATAGCCAATTATATTCAAATATTTAAATATTCTTATCCTAACCTATTTATAATCTCCAACGCTTATAAATAACTCTTTCTTTATTTTTCCCCTCCCTTAATGAATTTATTTATCACTGAATTTTATTATCTCATTCTTTTTTTTCTATCTCAATTATCTATTAACCACTATTTCTCAAAATCTTATCAATTCCTTTAATATAATTTTTATAATATAATCATTTATACCTTCTTTCCCCCCCCCCTTTTTTTTATCTTATTTTTTAATTACCTTACAATTAATTAACCTTAATCTTAATAACATTACATTCATCATGTTATTTTTTAACTTTTAGAATATCATAATAGGCTTGATAAGTCCCCCAAAGATTTTTTTTTGATGATAGCCCTTCAACTACTATAAATATGCATCTAATATTGACCTATCTACCGGTTTTACATTATTTTAATGTTTGTTTAATTTCAACAATAGTTTATTTATATTTTTGACTGATTTCTTTATTTGTCTAGGTTACCCTAAACCCTCACATTGCTACAACATGATAAATCTATTATTAAAGATAAGCAAAGAAAATAGTGATGATTAAACAAATGCCTTACCCGTTCTAGAGTTACTGGTAGACAAATTAATAAAGAACTACGCTTGAAATGAACTCATCTGGAGGTTTATTTTGTTTTTTTTATCTTATGTTTTATATCTATGTTTATTTTATTTTCACCCAGTTCTCCAAATTATACTATCACCACTACCACAATCCCTATGCCTCCGCCTTTTTAACAAATATAAACATTTAATTCTGTACTATCATTCACTTCACTAGGAGTTAATATAAATATTACTTTATCCGATTCTCTGAGAAATTTTCATGAATACTTAGAGGAATGTTCAAACTTGAATGTACAGTACGGCCAATTTCATCAACTTTATTAATGGAAAAATATGCAGTAGTTCTGTCATGGCCTTTAAAACAATACTTACGGCTGTTTTATGGTTGAGTTAACATTGTCGTTCATGATTCTATTATAGAAGGGGATACCAATCCTGACATTGACAAAAATATCATTTTGCGTGTTCAAACTTGAATGTACAGTACGGCCAATTTTATCAACTTTATTAATGGAAATATATGCAGTAGTTCTGTCGTGGCCTTAATAACAATACTTACGACCGTTTTATGGTGAGTTATTGTCGTTCATGATTCTATTTTAGAGGGGGATACCAATGCTGGCATTGACAGATATATCGTTTTTCTTTCTTCTTTTACCGGTATCCCAAGGCATAGGCATATCATCTTTATCAGGACGTAATGTGTTTTGTACACTGCTTTGTAAATCCGTCATCACTTTCATCTACAACCCTAAATGATATAAAATCATACATTAATTATTTCCTCTCCAGGGAACGCCCAGATTTATTTTGTCGCTTTTTTCATCAAAAATTAAAATGTCAACAAGGATTTGCTCTTAATTTTATCAAATACATAATAAATAATCCTCATTATTTTTTAAAAAAATTATCCTAAATTTATATGTCAATAAAAAAATATCTTAAAAAATATATAAATAATTTGCATATAAGTTTCATTAGTGTTTAATGGCATTTTTGTAATTTAAATAGACAGCATTTTTTATTTTTACTTAACATAAAAAAATATATATCCCTTATCAAATTCTTTGACAAATAATATCAGAAATGCAAGACATACATTAAATTTATCTGAAAAACAATAACCCTATATAATAAACAATATATTTTTTAGATATAATTTTAATTGATCATATTACAAAAAAAGTATAAGAGTCGTTTATTTTAATTTTATTTGTCATGATTCTCTAATAAGCGGTTGCCCAGGCCTTCCCAGTTTTCCTTAATACGGAATTTACGTTTTTTTTTCCATATTAGACTAATTGGTAAATCTGATAATTCCCCTTCATGTGATGAAATCAATTAAAAATTTAACTATCTCCGAGGTGGGAAAAAATTTTTAAAATTATATTGGATACGACTGGGCTTGGAACCTCAAAATTTATATTAGCTTGCACCTGACATGGGAATATCTTTAACAAATTATTAAGGGTTGAACTGGGCTGGATAAACTTTTTAATAATTATATGCTTTCTAATCTTTTGAGCTTGGATCTGGCATGACGTCTATCGTAAAAAAATGAATAAAAATCTCATTCACAGTTATTTTTGACGGTCTTTCTACTAGTAAGTTATTAATTACCATAAAATTTTATTAAAAACGATAGATTGGGGTTTATAAACACAATGACAAATATGATAGACTCTCTGCCATCAAGATACAATATTATAATCCTAAGAGATTTAAATTTGAAAATTGGTAAAACAGTAGAATATGTTAAAATTAATACCACTGGACACGCGACTATACAACAATCTAATAATGAAGATAGCAGAAAACCTCTCGATTTTGAAAGAGCAAAAGCAAAAATTTTAAAATCGAAAATACCTTCTTTTGCCATAGGAAAATAAACACATTCACCTTCTTCGTAAGAGCCAATCAGAAATTCCAAATAGATTTCTACATCTCTAATATTCATGGGTGGTTTCTCCGCGGGCTATTCCTCTTCTACCTTTTTACTGTTGTTGTAATACGGAAATACCGCCCACATTTCTCCGCCTCCATCTTTAGATTCTCTCAACCAGTTTCTGACCACGGCTACCATCCGCTCCGCCTGACCCTTCGAACTCGGGTGATATGGTGGCAACAAATGTGTTTAGCTCCGGTTTCCCAATAGAAAACCTTGAACTGTCTACTAAAAAAGATTCACCTCCGTCCGATATGATTGTAATAGCCACTCCGTATCTAACCCATAGATTTTTCAATGTTTTTATCACCACTTAAGTTGTGTTTCCTACCTCCACATACTCCACCTACTTTGAATAAACATCCACTACTATATAACTTGTCAAACCAAAGAAGTCTCCCACGGCTGAGTTGCTTTCGGCCCACACTTTCTTTGTCTTTTCGAGGCATCGAAGCCCAGGAATTACATCTAGCACATGCTCCTCCGACTTCCCCTCACTAGACATTCATTATTATTTCCAACTCATTTTCTATATATTTGAACGTTTTATCCCCATCCTGCCATGCTTTCCATCCCTTTATGCACGCTTTAATTTGCCTCAATTCTCTATCTTTTAAAGTTGCCCTTTTAATTTATTGATATTCCAGTCATCGTTCTGATCAGTACATGCTTGTTTTCTTAGTCCCATTCTTCATGTTCATTTCCCTCGAAATCTTCTCCAGCTCCGCATGATAAAATGTCGGGTAAATAATTTTCTCTTCCTCGTCGATATTTCACTTGTACATGAAAATTGCCCACTAGCAATTATCATCTTTGTTGCCGGGCGATAGCATTAATACTATGTCCTTTTTGAATAGATGAGCGGTTTATTATCCATATAAATAACAAACCTGCTTCCAACGAGATATTTTCGATGTTAATTCAAAAATGACAGCTTACGCTTCTTGCTTAGTCATAGAATACCTGGTCTCTGCTGCTCTAAATAATCTTGAAAAATATAATACCTGTCTCTTTAATTTATCAATATAATGCAACAAGGCTCCTCCTAGACCTTCATTACAAGCGTTCTCAGCCAATAACACCTACAATTTATTATTAAATTAAACCAAAATAGGTTCTTTTCCAATTCAGCAATTTATATTTTAGCGCTGCTATTTAGGTAAGTCCCTCCACAAACCAATGATAATAGTTGACCATTTCCAAAAAGACTTTTCTGCTTTATTATTAAGTGTCAACCTCAACTCTTTTGTAATTTTGATCCCAAGATATATCACCTCCATCACCCCCAACACACATTTCTCCGCACTAGTACGTAATCCTTTTTCTTTGATTCTCCCAAATACTTCCCCCAATCTCTGTTCATGCTGTTCTAGAGTTCTTCCCATTACCAGTGCATCGTCCATATATTAGAAAACCCCCCTCCATTCCTTGAAAAACGACCACCATTGTTCGCTGAATAATAGGAGCTGATGCGTAAGTCCAAATGGCGATCTACAGATGCAAACAATAACTTACGCGTAGTAATCGTTAATAACTTCTTTACCTCCGAATTATCAAGCTGCAAATATGCATTCAAGAAATCAACTTTTTAAAAATAAATACTTCTAAATTGGCCAAAATTTCCTTAATTCGTGGCAACTGATATGACCCCATGGATATAACGTGACCCGGAAATCTGCGAATAGACGGAGCCGCCACTGGCTTTCTTCACAGGCACCAGTTAAGTCGCCCATATATTCAACAGGACATACGATGCTATTCTGTACCCTTTGATCTAATTGTATTTCTACTTATTTTCTTCTTTCAAATGGTATTTGTCAACCATCCTTTAATTTAATATCCATTTCATAATCTCTGAGGCACCCCAAAAATCTTCGTTGAATCGTGATTATTTTATACCAATCTCCGAACTCTCTCTTGCACTTTGGTCAGTTTTTCATTAAGTGACAACTCCCTTTTACTGTTCTGTGTCTCTCAAACGTCCCTTCCCTCTTTCTTTTCTCCTCTCTTCTCTTGATATCATGATATTCTTTAACAAGTCCAACTTTCCTCTGGTAATTTTTACCTATTTTTCCCCTATAATTATTTCCCCTTATTACGATCCTTTGATGTTCGTTCCCATAATTATTTTCCCCTAATTCGAGCTGAGAATTACTTCATTATTCCCCCCTATTTCTCTCTTATAATTATTTTCGTCAATTTCGCTCTTAGAATTATTCCCCCTTTCTCCACCATTCAACAAGGTCTTACGGCAACATATACTCTCTTTTAAACGCCATAACTGCATATTCCACACTTAGTTATTGGTGCAAATATGCCCCACTATGAAAATTTTCTCTATAAACTATACTATGAATCAATTCGAGTGACCCTGATCAACCCGAACACAGCTTCTATACTTCAATTGATAATCCATAATTCTAATACCTGAACCCTCTCATCCAATGTTGCTTCTTCAATAATTTCTATCTTACCCATAGTAGTCAGGGTCCTATCAAATTTTCTTATTCTTAATCCCTCATTATCTAGTATTCCCCTAGCGAAATACTCTGATACTATCCTAACCAATTACCGAAATAGCTGCTCCCGTATCAAACAACATGGGAATCGTTCTCTCATTTAAATTATCATCACTCTAGAACAAGTATCATGTACCACCTCCCTTGTAGCATATTTACACATCTCCTCTTACTTATTTCCTCCTAAGAAAGCCACCTATTCGCTCGGCCGTGACTGTTATTATATATTCTTTGCCATCCATAACATAGTCACAAATTCCCCAGTCTTTTGCCACATGTCCCCCTTTTCGGCATAAAACATTCTATATTTTGCTACTCCGTTTCCTTTATGTTCGGTACACTACCTTCTTTCATTTTTTCTCTCTCAATAATCCTCCACATTTGAAACATTTTATTAATTTTTGCAAGTAAAATAATTTTAAAAGGAAATGTCAATCTATCTTTTAAAATCATCATAACGCGAATGACTTTTGATTTGATGGAAATATATCAAATGATTGGTTTTTTTCATTTTTTTTATTTGAAATGGAAATAAATAAAATAGAAAATATGGAGCATCAACTCGAAGAATTGATAGAACATATACGATTATTGGAAATTATGGTCTGCGATTTTCAACCTCAAAGTCAAAATAATCTTAATCACCAATTGTAAATGTATTAATGTTATAATCTTATATTATTTATAAAAAGGAATTCAATCATTAAAAGTTTGCAAGATCTTCAAAAATCTAAAGCGATTATTTATGATATTCAAATACCATTGGATTTAATTGAGTAGTTATTATAAATTATATGGCTTTATATTTTATTTAGATATGTTGATAAAGGTCTAACTCCTGAGATTTATATAAAAGATTATATGGATAAATGTTTATTTAAAAATGAAGAAGCCAAAAATAGAGTGGAATCTCTGAAAGTTTCCTTTTAATTATTCTATATTATTTTAAAAAATTATTTGTGTAGAAGTTTAAAGATACACTAATGACTGAAATAAATAAAGTCTTTCCTACTGAAACAACAAAGTATTGTATTTTAAGAAGTGAAGATACAACTTTTCAACCATAATTTTTTTTAATAATGAATACCATATACAATATTAAATCAATTCATAACCTATTTTTAACTCAAATAACACCCTTTATACCCAAGAATTTTAAATTTATCAGAAATTATTTAGATGAAATTAATATAGGCTCTGAAATGTATAATCTAATATATAGAGCATCAAATAAAGTTACAATAATTTTACCTATAATTGAAAATGAGCAATCAAATCAAAGTAATAGGAAGAATAATAAAACAAAACCCTATTCACTTTTTACAATATCTCTTATCATAGTTATTGAAGATATATATAATATTATTGATTATATCTCTGATTTTATATGGGAAAAATTAAATACTGGACTATGGAGTAACATTGGAGTACATTGGAGATATATATATTCATTTATAAATCTCCTGAAATTTATTTTAATGATCCAACTAATCTATATTGCATGCACTAATTCCTTGCTTGATATTTTTAAATTAAATGTTGTGATTAATTTTTTAAAAGAATATCCTATTGATTTTGATAATGACAAGAAAAAATTTAGACAATTATTGCTAAAATTATTAAAATTATGTGATTATTCACTTTTGATGGGGTTAACAAATATATTTTATAATGGGGAAAATATATATAACAAGCTTGCTTCATCACTCAGTAAATATATAACTAAGGATCCAGATTATATTTCAACAGTTATAGGAAATAACTTACAAGATCTAATTATTAATGAACAACAACATTTAAATTATTGCATTAATTATCAGGTCCCAATATTAAATTGCCCTTCCATTTCCCAATTTCATCAGATGTTAATTGGGGAAGAGCCTTTGGTCATTATAAAATCGATCATTGATTGGCCATGCTTTCAATATGATTCCAAATCAAATAGAGCAATGAAATGGAACTTAGAATATTTGTTAAATGTCTGTGGGCCACGAACTGTCCCAATTGAAATAGGTTCAAAATATACTGATGAACAATGGACTCAAAAATTAATGCTCTTTTCAGATTTTATAAAAGATTATATACTCGATGATAACAATCCAAAAGGTTATTTGGCACAACATCTTTTATTTGAACAGATACCAGAATTAAAAGAGGACATTGACATTCCAATTTATTGTATGTGTACTTTATCAAATGAGTTGATTGCCTTTAAAAAAAACAAAGAAAAATTTCATAATAATAAAAATTTATCATCTTCCAAATTTAATATAAATAACAATGTTGAAAGAAATATGCCAGAGGCTAACATTGAGGAAGACGTTGAAATAAATTGCTGGTTTGGTCCAGCTGGCACTGTATCTCCTCTCCACTTTGATCCTAAACCTAATTTATTATGTCAAGTATTTGGTGTCAAGTATGTACGTTTATATCACCCATCTACATCAGAAAAATTATATCATTTTTCAAAAAAGGATCTATTGAGTGATAACACAAGCCCAGTTGATGTAGAAAATCCAGATATAGATAAATATCCTAATTTTATTGATGTTCCATATAAAGAAACCTTACTCAAATCTGGGGATGTTTTATACATCCCACCTAAATATTGGCATTTTGTTAAATCTCTAACATCTAGCTTTTCTGTCAACTTTTGGTGGGAATGACAATAGAATTGAATAAATAATATATTTTTTTACACTTTTTATTATCTAAATAATGATGATTTAATTATAAAGTGAAAATAATTCGCTATTACTATATATGAATTGTAATTGCATAATGTATATCGCAGCTAGTATAGAAACTTAGTTCAGAGGCTCTTAAACTTATACCCCTCTAAGATATTGACAAAAAATACTCTCCATTATCTGAATGACATGCCTACTTTTTTATAGTAAGTTAAATCATACCTTTTTCAAATAACTATTTCACAGATCCTGTACAGGATTTGGCAACATACAAAAAGCTCTTCATCACATAATTAAAAATAAGAATAAATGAAAATCGAAAGTGTTATAAAGAATTATGGAAAATAATTATATTTTATTATAATAACTAAATTTATCATTAGCATTTATAAAAGGACTAATTTTTGAAATAAAATAATTTTTGTGTGCTGTTTTTTTAAATTTCTTATTCTGGCATAATGACTGTATAAGTTATACAGTTTGATCCAAAAATTTATATCATTATTCATTGTCACAAATAGAAACCCTCTTTTGCATCACCTGTGATTAAATGTAACCTTTGCTTTTGTTTTGAATAATTTTAGGGCTTGAGGTCCAAATTAACCAAAGTTGTTTGAAACTATTGGAACATACAATAGATTATTTAGGTGTATGTATTGGTATATATGCTTTCTGCTCTCATGATGGAGTTAATAGGGGTCAGGTAAAACAATTTACACTATTATAATTCCAAGTAAAAGCTATACATTGGTTCTAGGGGACTAGGGTCATCCCATCGGGTGTCAGGGCTGAGACCAGAAATTCCTGCATGGGAGGAATATTTTTTGTGGGTCTCAATGTTCAACTAATGATCGAATTGATGGCATAGTACCTATGCAACTACATTTTGAAAAGCGACTAGGGTGGTGATCTAGGCTATCTATATGGATGTAAAAGAGAGTGTATGACTTTGCGTAAAATTTTGCAGTCCAATTAAAGACCAATAGTAATGCTAAGTTCTTTGCTGGTAAGTAAGAGTCCTAATTTCTTTAAAAGAAGCATAAAAATGTGTTTAAAGTAACAAATAAACGTTAAACCAGTGTTAAAAGTATGGTACTATGGCTACCAATAGCATTTTCCTAAGTGCTCTACTTTTGAATTTTTTTAAATATTTTTTACCTATCACAAATAAAAAATATTACTAATATTCCAAATAGATATAATTTATTTACTTTTTTATTGCATCCCAATAATAATAGAATTTTCATACTGCCATCCCCCCAATCTAGAGTGATGATCAGAAAGTATTAGCTATGACTAAATTATCGTTTAACACTAGCACACAATGCAGTATTAAATTTAATGTATCATTTTTATATAAGAAAAATATTCATTTGAGCATTTATTTTTGATAACGTTTTGCATTTTTAGATTAAAAAAATGTGTCTAATTTTCAATAGTGTTATTTATTTCTGCAAAATCATCCATAGTAGGCGGCGTTTTTGATCTGGCTAGGGTTCTATATAATATTAATAGAATAAAAATTATGTAAGGGATAAGTGATATGTTTGTCAACAGGCCATGTTACCACTTTAAAATTTTTATCTATTGAGAAATTAGCATGTTTAACATCTAGAAAATAATTTATGAAATGTTAATATTTATTGTAATTTTTCATTTATAATGTAATTCCTGAATAATATCTTATGGCCAGTTGAAACATACCATGTTTGAATTGGGCCAGAAAATCAATTTCACATTAACTCATCTAGCTTAAAAACTATTATAAATACAGCTTTGATTTAAATTTTTAAGGATTGGTCTGTACATTGATATTAAATTTGTTTGATATATTACTTTTAAATGCTTATTTTATTAAAACCTTCCAGCATATCGTACTATGAAATTTATACCCTGTGTTAATTTTTTTATCGAAATTAAAATATTTTGCTCCAGAAAAGGAAATTCCATATTATCATCATATTCTGGGGAATTACTTTGTCTATATTATCTGTGCCAAAATTATCTTAAATATCAATCCATTTTAATTTTAAAAGATTTATAATGCAGATTTTTAAATTTCAAGATTAAATTAAATAAAAAATATGATTTTAGAATTAATATTTTAACAATTGAAAGTAGCCCTCTACTATGCTACTTTCAAGCTATCGCTAGTGCTAATTTAATAATAACATTGAGTTACACAAACAAATAACGGTTAAAGTGGATTTTTGTTTCATTTTCTAAATGGGAGAATTAAGAACATAACGCTTCCTGTAACAACACTATTTATGACTTTTTTAGCCTTAGCCAAGCCTTATATAGTCATTCAATATATTATAAATACTGAGCTGTATTTTGAATCAACAAAAAAAGTCAATTTTTAAACCTATTAGATTTATTATACTATGTATTGGGCAAATTTTCAGAAAATTATATTCAGATACAAATGCTTTTAAACATGTTGTATTTAAGATACTTAATACTTAGGAAAATTATCAATAGATATAATATACAAGATAGTTTTTAAAAACTTTAAATAAAATATCAAGCTTTATTTTTTAAATAAACTAGCAGAAAAAGACAAATTTTTTATATAGATAATGCGATATATAGATATATTTTTAAAAATTGTATATTATAATGAAAGCAATATTATTATAAAAACTTAATTAGTAAATATCATAAATCAGCATTATTTTTTATTATTATTAATTTTTCAAACAATTTGTAGTTTAGCCTTTGACGATTTCCTTTTTTGATCATATTAACAAAGCTGAATATTCGTTCAAAGAGGGCAGAGGATGGCAATATTATGTCAATTTAATAAATATTTATTTTATATATTTTTGACTATTTAACATATTTATATTACACCTGTCATCTCTATACAATTTAAGAGCTCTCATTCAATATCATTTACTGAATTATTTTGATTGGATATATTACTTTTTAAACAAAAGTAATCATCATTTGAAGAGATGACATTCATTTCAAAAAAATTAATTAAAGCTTCTTGTATTAATAAATCCTGAAGATATATTTTTTTCTTTTTCATAATCAATTTAACTATTTTTAAAGTGGGGATGAAACATCGGGTAGGGGTATCACTAGTTAGATGCTATGTTTGTTAAAGCCTTCTTTTTCAAAATATTATAAATAAATAACACATTTAAACAAATACATTAATATCTTATTTAACTTTCTTATAAAATTTAGGGTTTACTTCAAATTGTTATTTTCTTTGTGGCATTATATTATTATAATTTCCTTCCTTTCGCTTTAAGCAATTAATGAAAAATCAAAAATATAATAGATGAAAATAAATATAATTTATTTATTATTATTTTATAAATTATCATATCATTAGATTATCCTAAACATCAAAATAAAACAACTCCCAATCATAAAATACTTTAAGGTTGCTTAAATTCAGTGAACATCCATTTTTGCGCTCATTCTGGAGTTTGCTAAAAGCTGGTCATATTTAGTTCCAATTAATAATGCTCATTTTGAATTAGGCTCGTTTCAAACACCGAACATGGTAAATATTTTTATATTTTTTTTGAGAAGAAAATATAAAAGATAAAACTTTTAAATTAAGGCTATAATTTGAGAATTTTTATTGGTTTTAAGGGGTAAAGCATTTAATTTAAAGTCCAGTTTGTATTATAGATGTTATTTTGATTTGTGAATACATGTAGGTTTCAGGGGCGTTTTTAGCTTTTGCAGATCCAGGGGCTCAACTAAAATAAATTATGGGGAAAGGAGGGCTTCGCCCACCATACCCCCCATATTTTACCATTTACCATGCATACATACTAATAGTAGCATATAAGTAATAAATAATACAAAACATTTGGTAAGCATAAAGTTAATGTTTTTAATATAAAATATATTTGCGATTGTAGAATATATATATATCAGTAACTAAGCGTCCAAAGAGGCAAGGGAAGTATTGATTTCCTTGAAATTTAAAAAAAAAATAAAATTAAGATAATCTTTAGTGTTGTTAAAAAACCCGATTCGGGTTGATTTTTTAATAATGACATCTTGATTATAACCATAATAAATAATATTGTGCAGGCTTGGTGATTTTGCTCATAGATGGCAGAAAGTTTGGTCTTTTACTTGCCAAATCTTGAGCTTGCACAATATATTGTATAACTTAACGTTTGAAAAATAAGCGCTGGGGTAACAAATAAAAAAAGCTAATTATTTTCTAAATAAAAGAAGAAACATTTTTATATGATATATCTGTTAAAAAATTGATTATTTTTTAAAAGAATTGATAAATTCAAAATGTCTAATAATTGCAATTATGTTATTAAAAATATCATCTGGCTTAAGAAATTTTGATGTGGAGAAATTGGTTATTGAAAAAGTGAAACCAAAACTAATTAATTTTACAAAATTTAAAAAAGAAATTAAAACTTGCTTTCGTACTTTACAGGGTTTCCCATTCAAATAAGGAAAAGTTCCTATCAAAAAAATAAAAATTTCAATCATAAAAGGAAAAGGTCTGATCAAAAAAGGAAAAGGTCCAAACAAAAAAGGAAAAGTGTCAATCAAAAAAGAAAAATTCCCATTCAAAAAAGGAAAATCGTAATTTTTTTAAAAAATATAAAAAATTTTCTTAATTTTTATTTATTTTTGTCATTCCTTTTTATTTTATTTCTAACTTTTTGCGATTCTTTACTTTATTTGTATCTTTTCTCAATTTATTTTTCTTCTCATTTTTGATAATTCTTTTGTATTTTTAAAAATAATTTATAAATTTAGGTTCATTTTTTAAACAATTCTTTACGTTTTTTTATCTTTTACATATGTCGTAATTTTTAAAGGGATCATAACTATCCGGGATCTTCACGGGATTTAAAGGGATCCCTTTAATATTTCAATTTTTTAAAGGATAAAGAACCATGATATAGAAGAATCTTATTTTTAAAAGCGTTTTCCGCACGTTTCGTTTCGTTTTTTAATTTTATTGTTATTCATTAATTTTCAATGATGTTTTTTTTGCCTTATGAAATAAGATATGTCTAATATAGGGTATATATCGATAGCTAATCAAAAGATCTATTCAATTGGAGGTCAATCTCTCCTCTATAATGGGCGGGTCTAGATCTTGGGGAGTCAGAAATATTTTTATCAACACAAAATATCGATATGGGTATCAAATAAAAGCTAATTTTAATATGGTTTGACTGAAAGTCTTCATTCTTTGTCTGGATGGGTATGACTTGGTCTAGGGGTGGGGAGGGGGTGTATGGTGAAGGGGGGGGGGGCTGGAAAAAATAATTTTTTTGATATGGGTAACAAATAAAAGCTAATTTTAATATCGTTTGACTGAAAGTCTTCATTCTTGGTCTGGATGGGCATGACTTGGTCTGGGGGGAAGGTGTAGAAA